CCCCCCTGTGTCTCCCCGTCAGGCGCTCATCCCCGTCACCCAGCCAAGCACCGTCCTTCTTCCAGGTGATGCTGGGCTTGGGGTGGCCACGGGGGGGGACGCACTCCAGGACAGCCAGGTCACCCGAGGCCACCTCCACATCCCCAGGGGGCTGCTGGAAATCGTCCCGCAGCACTGGGGTGGACACCAGCATGGGGGACATCAGCATCAGGGCGGGGGGCACTGGCACAGGGTGGGAATTGGCATGGGGAGACATTGGCACAGATGGGGACATCAGCAATGAGGGGGGCATCAGCAGGAGGTGGGACACCAGCACAGAGGGGGGACATCAGCACGGGGGGAGGGCATTGGCAAGGGGGTGACACAAGCATGGGAGGGCATCATCATGGCTGGGGGGAAATCAGCCCTATGTCAGTGTCCCCATCCCTGAGCCTCAGCCAGGACCAGCAGGCCCCCCAAGCCACCTGATGGCCACATCTCCAGCGAGGCCAGGGACATCCCTGCCTTCATTTTAATTTATTTCCAATTATTTTCACTTATTTTCATTTCTCTGAATTTCTTTTAATTTATTTCCAACTATTTTTACTTGTCAATTATATTTATTTATTTTCATTTATCATAGAATCACAGAATGATTTGGGTTGGGAGGGACCTTAAAGATCATCTAGTTCCAACCACCCTGCATGGGCAGGGACACCTCCCAGTAGATCAGGTTGCTCAATGCCCCAATTATCCAATTCTTTTAATTTCTTTTAATCTCTTTTCCCTGATTTCCAGTTATTTTCACTTTTAAGCGAAGCTATAACTTCTTTCCCATTACTTTTTGTTATTTGAACTTCTTTACACTTCTTCCCATTTCTTTCTAAATATTTTAACTTTCACCTGCTGTGGGGCTCAACCATGACACCAAACTCAAATACCCCCCACCCCAAAAATACCCTCATCACACCAAAATCCCCCCTCCAGGCCCCTCTGGACTGACCAGCCAGCTCCAGCGAGGCATTGCGGCTGGTGGCCACTCCCAGGTAGTTCCTGGCTACACAGACATAGACACCCTCGTCGGTCCTGCCTCGCCGGCCGGGAAGGATACGGGGCAAGTAGAGGGACCCCCCTGGCAGGAGGGTGCGGTCCCCCCCCGCCCCGTCCCCACCCGCTCCCCGTCCTTGTACCACTCCACTGCAGGTGCTGGGCGGCCCTCAGCCCGGCAGTGCAGGGTGGCTGGGTCCCCCCTGGGCACTAGGAGGTCCGTTGGGTGCTGCACGATGCGGGGGGCTGTGTCCTCCAGCAGGGGGTGGGAACCTGCGGGGAAATGTGGGGGGTTAGGGGGAGCTGCCAGTGCCTTGGGGGGAGGATTGGCCCAGGTTGTCTTCCTTCCCCACTCAGGAGGTGGAATGAGCCAGAGGTGGGATGACCTGGAGTTGGGATCACCTGGAAGTGAGATGATCTGGAGGTGGGATGACCTGGAAGTGAGATGATCCAGAGGTGGGATGACCTGGAGGTGGGATGATCCAGAGGTGGGATGACCTGGAGGTGGGATGATCCAGAGGTGGGATGACCTGGAGGTGGGATGATCCAGAGGTGGGATGACCTGGAGGTGGGATGATCCAGAGGTGGGATGACCTGGAGGTGGGATGATCCAGAGGTGGGATGACCTGGAGGTGGGATGATCCAGAGGTGGGATGACCTGGAGGTGGGATGATCCAGAGGTGGGATGACCTGGAGGTGGGATGATCCAGAGGTGGGATGACCTGGAGGTGGGATGATCCAGAGGTGGGATGACCTGGAGGTGGGATGATCCAGAGGTGGGATGACCTGGAGGTGGGATGATCCAGAGGTGGGATGACCTGGAGGTGGGATGATCCAGAGGTGGGATGACCTGGAGGTGGGATGATCCAGAGGTGGGATGACCTGGAGGTGGGATGATCCAGAGGTGGGATGACCTGGAGGTGGGATGATCCAGAGGTGGGATGACCTGGAGGTGGGATGATCCAGAGGTGGGATGACCTGGAGGTGGGATGATCCAGAGGTGGGATGACCTGGAGGTGGGATGATCCAGAGGTGGGATGACCTGGAGGTGGGATGATCCAGAGGTGGGATGACCTGGAGGTGGGATGATCCAGAGGTGGGATGACCTGGAGGTGGGATGATCCAGAGGTGGGATGACCTGGAGGTGGGATGATCCAGAGGTGGGATGACCTGGAGGTGGGATGATCCAGAGGTGGGATGACCTGGAGGTGGGATGATCCAGAGGTGGGATGACCTGGAGGTGGGATGATCCAGAGGTGGGATGACCTGGAGGTGGGATGATCCAGAGGTGGGATGACCTGGAGGTGGGATGATCCAGAGGTGGGATGACCTGGAGGTGGGATGATCCAGAGGTGGGATGACCTGGAGGTGGGATGATCCAGAGGTGGGATGACCTGGAGGTGGGATGATCCAGAGGTGGGATGACCTGGAGGTGGGATGATCCAGAGGTGGGATGACCTGGAGGTGGGATGATCCAGAGGTGGGATGACCTGGAGGTGGGATGATCCAGAGGTGGGATGACCTGGAGGTGGGATGATCCAGAGGTGGGATGACCTGGAGGTGGGATGATCCAGAGGTGGGATGACCTGGAGGTGGGATGATCCAGAGGTGGGATGACCTGGAGGTGGGATGATCCAGAGGTGGGATGACCTGGAGGTGGGATGATCCAGAGGTGGGATGACCTGGAGGTGGGATGATCCAGAGGTGGGATGACCTGGAGGTGGGATGATCCAGAGGTGGGATGACCTGGAGGTGGGATGATCCAGAGGTGGGATGACCTGGAGGTGGGATGATCTGGAGGTGAGATAACTGTCCTACCAAGAGGTAGGGTGAAGTGTGGCCAGGCCTCAGCCCAGTGGATCACCCCCCTGCTCCAGGAGTTTAGATGACTCAGAGGTGGGATGAGCTCAGAAGTGGGATGAAGTGTGTGTAGGTCTCAGCCCAGTGGATCCCCCCCAACCCAGGTGGGTGCTGGCAGGGTGGGAGCAGGACCAGGACAGTGTCAGACCTTGGACTCACAGGAGACAAGGACAAAGGGACAAAGCAGCTCCACTCCCAGTAACACTCCTTCTCTGCCCAGTTTCCAGCTGGGCCACCCCTGGGGAAATAGGGTTGGGGCTAAATTCCCTTAAAAAAAAGGTGTTTTCCCTTGGCTGCAAGTGAGGATTTTCTGTGGCCAGGGAGGGAGCTCCGGGCTGCAGGAAACGCCTCTTTTTAAGGAAAGAAAAAACAACATATTGGGTCTGTGGGGTTGTTCCAGCGGAATTAATGGCTGCTCGTTAATGGTGGGGTAATTAATACTCATTAACTCTGGGGTAATTAATGTCCGTTAACACTGGGCATCGCTGGCCCTGCAGTTCAGGCTGCGGTCACTGTGTGTCACTGCTGTCCCAGGGAGCGGTGGTGACACACGCAGGCAGGGCAGCGTGCACATACATACACACGTGTGTGCATGCACATGCATGCACATGCATGTAGCCACGCACAGCCCGCGTGCATGCAGCACCAGGCATTTTCACACACGTGTGCACTCACAGGCACGTGTGCATACAGGCAGGGGGTGCGTGCACTTGCAGACACACGAAGGTGCATGTAGAAGTGTGCGTTCATGCAGGGGTGGGAAAGCACACACACGTGCACACACACGCACGCACACACGCACACATGCAGGGGCGTGCAAGCATGCACTTACACACGCAGGTGCATGCACACACATATTCACACGGGGAGCATGCACATCTAGACTTGCATTTGCACACATACACATGTACACAACCCTGCATGGCCCTACACACATGACACTGGGGCATACAAGCCTGCATGTACCCACATCCTCGCCTGCACATGCGTGAATATGCATCAACATGGGTCATACACGCATCCCCCCCCCATGCATGCCCCTCATTTGCATACGCATGTGCACAGCCCCAGCTCCCCAGCACTTGGAGGTGGGGAGGTGGGAGGGGGGGGTGTGATTGGGGCACCCTGGGCTGGTTGTCATGGGGATGGGATGCGGCTGCCATGGGGACAGGGAGGGATGCTGCTGGGGACTGGGGCAGGGGGGCCCAGCAGGGGCCGAGGGGGCCGCAGCTGGCCCCGGTGGCTAATTGGGCTGGGGAGGAGGGAAGGCCAGGCCCCCTCCTGTGTCCCCCGTTCCCCACAGGGGCTTGGGGGATACCCCCATCAGCCCCCCAGAGCCAAACGAAGGGAAGTTGAGGCTGAAAAAGAGGAGGAAAAGCTCAAAAAGCGGTCCTCCCCTTAATCCTCCCTTCAGCCCCACAGTACCTGTGGCTAGAGCTGCCCCCCTCTGCCCCACCCCCCTTTCCTGCCCTCCTTAGGGATACAGGACTGGTCTGGGGACACAGGGCTGGTTTATGGACATGAGGATTCTCCTGACTCAGGTCTGGGGACACGGGAACACTCTGGGGACACTGTGGTCCTACCTGGCTCAGTAACACACTCAGGGTGGGGACATGGGACTGGTTTGAGGATCTGGGGATTCTCCAGACTCAGGTCTTGGGGCATGGGAACATTTTAGGGACACCATGGTCCTTCCTGTCTTGGGGACACACAGCTAGTCTGGGGACATGGGTCTGATTTGGGGACACGGGATCAGTTCAGGGACACAGGGTTAATTTGGGAACATGGGGCTGGTTTGGACACATGGGGTCTCTCCCAGTTCAGTCAGGGGGTCAGTGTAAGGACACAGAGACAGTCTGGGGACAACAACTCTCTCCTGGCTCATGGATATGGGGTTGGTGTAGGGACACAGGGACAGTTTGGGGACAAGGGCTTGCTCCTGAAAGCTGGTCTGGGGACATGGGGACAATGTGTGGACACTGGATCAGCCCCAGTTCATGGTCCAGGGGTCGGAGCGGGGACACGGGGCCGGTTTGGAGATAGGGCATAATTCCTGGGTCAGTCCTGATCTGGGGACTCAGGGCTCGTCCCAATTTGGGACTATCTAGGGACACAGGATTGCTCCTGGTTCATGGTCCGGGGGCACAGAGCTGGTCCCCAAGGGGGAACACAGGGGCTGATTTGGGGACACTGGGTCACTTCCATATTGGTGACATGAGCAGGTCCCAGTGTGGTGATACGCATTCCGTTTGGAGACCGGTGGGTCCTGGCTCGGGGCTGGGGGACTGAGGGCTATTGCCCGTGTGACCGCTGGGCTGGGGACAGCGGAACAGTGGGACACTGGGACAGCGGGACACCGGGGACAGCAGGACAGTGGGACAGAGGGACAACGAGACAAGGCGAGAGCAGGATACTGGGAGAGCGGGACACAGGGAGAGCGGGACATAGGGAGAGCGGGAACCAGGGACAGCGGGACAGGGGGACAGTGGGACACGTACCGTTCCCGGGGGTGAGACGGAGCGCGGGACCCGTACCGTTGGGGTCGGAAGAGTTGGAGCTCTCCGCTCCCAGCGAGTCGGCGAACAGGTTCAGCTGCAGCAGCGTCTTCAGCAAGTACCGCAGCATCGCACTGCCCCGATCGGCTGAGTTGGTCCGAAATAGCACAGCTCGGCTGGGCTGAGCTCGGCTCGGTTCGGCTCGGTCTGGCTGGGCTCTGCACGACCAGATCCAGCTGGGTTCGGCTCGGCTCAGATCAGGTCGGATGTGCTCAGCCCAGCACGGTTCAGATCGGCTCGGCCCAGCCCGGTTCCCCTGAACCCAGCTCGACTCAGCCCGGTTCCGCCCGTCCCCCCTCCCCCCGCGCCCCCGCCCCCGGGTCCAGGGGGATGCAGCGGGGGCGCGGCCAGCGCTGAGCTGGTGGGGAGGTAGGGGGGTGTAAATGCCCCCCATTTTGGGGGAAGGGGAGGACTCCCATACGGGGGGGGAGCGGGTGTGGGAAGTGGGTTGAGGTAATCTTTGAGGGGGGCCAGAAGAAAAGGGGGGCAAGTGCTGTCGTCACCCCCCAGGTAAATGAGCAGCTGGGGGCCCCCCTTCAATGAACCCCAAAAGGCAGCTCGGGGGGGCAGGCTCATGCACATCTACTCCAATACGGAGGTGGAGAAGGGACTTTTGGGGGTGCTGGGTTCCCAGTGGCCTTGAACCTGGGGGGGGTCGTGTGAGCACATCTGCATGATGGCTCCTGAATTCTTAATGAGCAATTAGACACTTAATTAATGCAAGGGAGGGGTGAAGTGTGAAGCAATGCATCTTCCCCAGCGAACCCTTCGTTAGGGGGGGATCGTTATGGGGGAGCTTGTTATAGGGGGATTGTTAGGCATGGTGTTGTTATTGGGGGCTCATTCTGGAGAGGTTCATTATGGCACAGGTTTTTATTGGGGTGTTGTTATGAGGGTTCATAATAGGGGGTCGTTATGTGTGGGTTTGTTATGAGGAGGTCGCTATGGAGGGGCTCATTCTGGGGGGGCTTGTTTTGAAGAGGGTCATTATGGTGGCACTATATATCCTGCTTGGGGAGGGTGGGGATGATGGGATGGGAAGAAAGAGGGGGCCTGGGGAGGTGGAACCCCCAGGGAGGGTTGGAGAAAGGAATTGGGGAGTGGATGATGAGGGAGAAATGTGGACGGAGGACACACACAGCTGTGTGCACATATGGGGCACAATGGTCAGGGTGAGCAGAAGAGGCCTCACATCTGGATGGCGAGATGAGCTTGCTTTGCACACCTGGGTGGTGTCACATCTGGAGGGCTCTTGGGACACATCTGGAGGGGGCTCATGCACATCTGTGGCACAGAGGTTGTTCACATCTGGGAGATTTAGAGGTTACATGCACATTCAGGCAAACACCTGGAGGTCACAGCTAGAGAGGTCCTGGGGGGTCACAACCAGGGTCACGCAGGGATGGCTCAGCACATCTGGAGAGCCTGGCAGGTTGCACCTCTGGGGCCACAACAAAGAGGTGGGGGAGCACACATCTGGGTGCACATCTGGAAAGCATGCTCCAGGATGCTCCCCCACACACTTGTGGCTGCACTGGGGCCCCAAATGGGCACATGTCTGGGACCCACCCCACACATCTGGGATGCCCTGTGCACATCTGAGGCCATTCAGCCTCTCTGTATCCCAGCAGGTCTGCCAGATCCCAGCATTCTGTGGCCAATTCATCCATTCCACCCAGAGCCAGGCATGGAGAAAAGAAAGATTAGTTTATTAATATCCCTAAAGTTTTTCCGTTTTTCCTGCAGTGGCTGCCCAGGGATTTCCAGAAGGATCAAAACCGGGAGAAATAAATTATCCATCAAAGAACAGGCTTATCCAACTCTTACCCAAATAATTCTCCAGGATAGGAATTGAAGGTGATGCCCAGAATATTAAATGCTGTGGAATTTCCCCCTCCCTCCTCTTCTCTCTTCGGGTGTTCCTGAAAAGCTGAGTCACAGGGATGGGGCATCTCCAACTGGGAATCAAGGCTGGAAAAGGGATGGAAATCCCCAGGGAGCTTTTGGGCCTCTTTCCCCGGAGTGCTTTGAGGAATTGAATGCTTTTGGAATTTTTTAATGGGAATCCTGCAGTCTGGGGGACAGTTGATTTCAAGCACCTCTGTAAGAAGGCTTGAGGCTGTGGCGATGAGCTCGATGTCTTGGGGTGGGGAAAGGAGACAAAGGAGCTGCCTCTACACACACACATATTATCCTGGTTAATCAACTGGGCAAACAGCGCGAGCAGGGGCATTGCCTCCTCATTAGTGGATTTATTCCTGCTTTTCCTGCCGTTAATTGCCCTTTGATGCGGCGATTAGCGGCTGTTTGCGCAGGCTTTGCCCAAACTTCTCCCTGCCTAAAAGCGACGCCCCGCCCCCCGAATATTATTTTTCGGGGGGGATGGGGAGAGGGGAGGATACTTCGTTATCCAAGTTATTCTGCTTTATTTTCCGTAATTCCTTAATTTTCCTAACCTGGACAGGCCGGAGCTGGCGGTAATAAGCAGCGACAGGATATTTGTAGGGGCAAATGAGGGGCTGGGTCCATAGCTTGCAGCCCTTGTATTACCATGCCCCCTGGGAACCCCTTCTCCCCCAGCCCCGAGCTTTG